AATATATTAAAAAACGAATTAAGTGAAGCTAGAACAAAGTTTCTTGAAACGCAAATAATTAAAATTTCGATCAAAAATCAACTTATATGAATTAATGTAAGAAATGCATGATTACTTCCGTAAAATTCAGCCATTAATTTATTATTTGTATCGAATATTCTATTACTTATATTTGAAATTAATTTCAATAAGCTAGCTCTTGTAGTACGAAATAATAATACAATGCAATAATACTTCTGTCAGAATAAATTTAAGATACAAAGAAAATCGGAACATCGGAATATCTTGTAATTATTTCAAAATCTTGTAATTAACTCGTGAAATATTTTGTGAAAATAAGAGTTATCTTATGATCTTTTGGTTATGTTCCTGATAATGCTCTTAATATAACATACATAAGACCGCGCGTGCAATAACATAATTGCTATCGTCTTGAAAAATTCAATATCTTACAGAATAAAATTATTAAATATTTTATTCTTCATATTTAAAATTAATTTAATATAATTATAATAATAATATAATAATAAATATAATATTGCTATTGTCCGCGCGAGTCTTCTGCGGCCGAGTGGAGTCGAGCCGCCGTTTGGAATAAAAGTGAAGCGCTCTCGGGACAACGATTGTTTTGTTTACAAAAAGTACGACGCGATGACTCGTGGCGTACAGACGTGTGTCCGCCAAATTGTTGTTGTTGATTAATTTGAATAAAGTCTATGTATTTTATATATTTAAACGGTATTGTTTATTGCCGAACGCGGCTTTCTAACGGAACGCGAGTGAGAGCGTCAGTGGACGTAACAATATTGTAAAGTTAGACTTTTTCTTTTAGGACGCCACTTTTTATAAAGTCAAATAATTTAATCGAGATGATTATTGAAAAATTGATGTGGCCATCGCGAATATTGTTATGCAAAGGAGAAGAATATCCCGATAAGAACTAAAGGCAGAGTCAAGATCAGTGAAAACACTAATTATCACGGAGAAATCATTAATTATGTCGTTGCCGCTCTCCTCTCCCTTTTTTTCTACGTGACTCCGTTTCTGTCTGGCTTCCTCTCTTTCCCTCTTTACCCCACGTCCTTCTGTCTTTCGCTTGCATTCTTCCGCGATGCTAACTATGTGAAGTACTCCCACGACACAAGAATGCCGCTTCAAGATCATGGACTTACGGTCGTGCCAGTCGACGACTCTCTTAATTATTCCCAACGTTTTCCTCTTCGCTTCCACCTTCGCGACTTTACTTCCCTTGTTGCTGTTAAGATGAAATATTAAAATATCTTACGAACATGATTACTTCCTAAGTAAAATTTGAGTTATAGATAGTGACATTTGAATTTTGATGCAGGTGTCATTATGGAAATTTGTATAGATTCAGCAGAGTTGCATTATTTTATGAAAAAATTTTAAAAAATTTTCTAACGTAATAATTATATTAGAAGATAATTAATATTAGTCTTTATATTAGTAAATTAGAAGTGCATGAATTATTTCTTTATTCATTAATAATATTAATATTTTAA